GGCTCATTAGGTATGCAAATGAGGCTCAGCAATATTCCACGCTTAGCCTCATTTGCATATTTCTTGTGCAAGAAGCCGCGCGTGTGGGTCCTATTTATACAGCCCTCCTCTGGGCCCGAACAGGCTGCTACGCAGGCCTCATCCCCTTGCTCCACTGCCGTCTCCCAGAGCTGGATTTAACCCTTGCTAGGCCAGGGCGGGGCAGATGCTCCGTCGCGCCCCCATACACAATCTGTCCCTTCCTGTTTCCGGTCTACATTCTGGGAAGGGCCAGGGGGATCCATGTTTATAAAGGAAGCGCTTCTGAGCACGGCCGGGACAAGTGCTTTTGCGGAAAAGCGTCCGTGCCAATCTAGACGCTCTTTTCCGCAAATGCTTTTAACGGAAAACTTTTCCGTGAAAAGCATTTGCGGAAAATCATGCCAGTGTAGATGTAGACCCCCAGTTTAACCCCTGTCTCTTTGTGATTTGCCCACACACCCTCTGTCCTTGTTAGACTCAAAGCATTCCTGAGCACATTTTGGCCTTTGAGGTGTCTGCGATTTGAGAGTCAAGGCTTGCTATTGGGCGCTACTAAGTCCCATGGCATGGCTGCTACCTCCTGATGGGACAGATATAGGGCAGGGCGAATGGGGCGGCCACCCCGGGCCCTGGGCCCCGGGCCCCAGGCTCCGTGCTTCAAAAAGCCCCACGCATGCGCCGTGGCACCACTAAAACGGTCATCTAACGGGTCTAAGGCTAGCACGTCAGCACTGACAGACACTGACTGTAAAACTCTCCTCGCTAAGCAGTCTTGCAAACAAAGCACAGTTTCGCCCCCGTGGAAGAGCCATGGAAAATGGCACGCACCCAGCCAGCGGTGGCTGGAGTCACAATTGTTGGGTGGGGACCCAGGGGATCTGGTTCTAGTCTCGGCCATGCACAGATGCCAGGCACAACGTGGGATAAGTCACACTCTTTGGCTACATCTACACTGGGATGATTTTCCAAAAATGCTTTTAACGGAAAAGTTTTCCGTTAAAGGAAGAGCCATGGAAAATGGCACGCACCCAGCCAGCGGTGGCTGGAGTCACAATTGTTGGGTGGGGACCCAGGGGATCTGGTTCTAGTCTCGGCCATGCACAGATGCCAGGCACAACGTGGGATAAGTCACACTCTTTGGCTACATCTACACTGGGATGATTTTCCAAAAATGCTTTTAACGGAAAAGTTTTCCGTTAAAAGCATTTTCGGAAAAGCGCGTCTAGCCAGCCAGCGGTGGCTGGAGTCACAATTGTTGGGTGGGGACCCAGGGGATCTGGTTCTAGTCTCGGCCATGCACAGATGCCAGGCACAACGTGGGATAAGTCACACTCTTTGGCTACATCTACACTGGGATGATTTTCCAAAAATGCTTTTAACGGAAAAGTTTTCCGTTACAGTGCTTTTGCCGAAATTCAAGCAGCCAGTGTAGACAGCTGGCAAGTTTTTCCGCAAAGCAGGAAGTTTTTGCGAAAAACCTTGCCAGTCTAGACACAGCCTTTGGGTTTCCGTTCCCCCAGGGAGTTAACCCTGTCGAAGGTCCAGCAACAGCAACAAACACCACAAAACGGAAAAACCCTTCATGCCAGGGAACCCCAAGTGGATTTGAACCCAGGACTGCTGATGCTTAGTATAGGAGCCTCTGCCCTCTGAGAAGCAGGAAGTTTTTGCGAAAAACCTTGCCAGTCTAGACACAGCCTTTGGGTTTCCGTTCCCCCAGGGAGTTAACCCTGTCGAAGGTCCAGCAACAGCAACAAACACCACAAAACGGAAAAACCCTTCATGCCAGGGAACCCCAAGTGGATTTGAACCCAGGACTGCTGATGCTTAGTATAGGAGCCTCTGCCCTCTGAGCTAAAACTCAGCTGGCTCCCAGCCCATACCCCTCAAGGGGGTTGCAGATGTCTTCCTGGGGAGGAGGGGGTCGCAGCTCTTGGATTCAGCCGGCCGGGAGCTGGGCCCGGTCATTGGTGGCCATGTGGTGCAGTGCTTGGATCCAGCAGGCCGGGGGCTGGACGCAGCCGCATGGTGCTTAGATCCGGCCAGCCCGGGGCTGGGCCCAGCAATTGTCAGCCCCTGCAGTGCAGGGGTCACAGATCAGAAAAGGTTGCGCGCCATTGCAGTACAGGTCTCTTGTTCTGATCTGTTGCTGTGGTCTAGGTGCACTGCATGGGACAGTGAAGGCTACGTGTCTACACTGCAGCCTTTGGTCGGCAGAGCCGATGCAAATGACGGCGTGACAAATGCTAACGAGCTCTTCTTTCGCATCGTTTCTGCCGACAAAAGGCTGCCGTGTAGACGTCGCCCAGGTGTGCGGGTTACACGTGCATTATCTCAGGCTGCCTAGAGGGCACGTTCTCACTGCCCTGGGCATGGCACAGTGTGAGGCCAAAGCCCTGTGTCCCGGCCCCGGAAGAAAAGGACTGTGCCCACCAACAGGTGCCCATCGTGGCTTTTGTTTATAAGACCGCAATCCAGGCCTCCAAGTGAACAAGTCGCTGGGCTGGAGGTTTCTGCCTTCTCAGGGTGGCACTGATGTTTCCACCATGCCCATCGGTCTCCGCTACTCGAGTTCTTCCTGGAATTTGATTTCTGGCCCTTGCAGGTGCTGGGTGTCGGTGCCAGGAAGAACCTGCAACATCCGCAGCATGTTTAAATGTTGGTGTCCCTGCTCGGAGGTCGTCGGCGGTGGCTGTGATGCTTCTCTGGGGGTGGGGCCACCGCTCGGGGTACTGACAGAGCCCCCCGAATTCCCCAGCCCCCACAGCCGGAGAGTGAACCACGGCAGAAGGACGGGCGCCTCGGAGGCCAGCGTCTGCAGTCCCTGCTCGATCTGCAGCCAAGCCTGCATGGCTTTCGGGTTGGACATGGCCACCAGCATCTCCGGGTTCTGGATCTGCTGGAAGAAACTTGGCAGCCGCTGCGTGACAGGCTCCAGGGGCGGGGGCCTCTCGGCCGACAGGCTGGCCTGCGCCGCCAGCTGGGCGTTCTGGATCAGGGAGAGCATCATGCACTTGGTGTAGGAGGCGCACAGGTTCACGATCAGCTGCGGGTTCTCCGTGATCTGCTGCACCAGGTTCTGGATCCCGCCGGGGTGGAGCCCCCCAGACCCTGCATCAGGCTCCAGGCTCGGCCGAGACGAGCCCGGCGCCACGGGGCAGACACCGCAGCTGCTCACCGCGCAGTCCAGGAACCCGCAGGTGCTGTGGGTGCAGACGCTGGTGGCGCTCTGGGAGGCGGAGGAAGGAGCCGACAGGTCTCCGGTCTCCACGCAGGAGGGCAGCTCGCCCTGTCCCAGGCCTTCCAAGGAGGGATTCCTCAGGAACGTAGCAAAGGGATGGTTTGAGACAGGCTCTTGTGCGGGGCTCAGCGCCGGCTCCTGGAGCTCCGTGTAGGTGCATCTCAGGGCGTTGTCCCCCCCGGGGATGTTTTCCAGGGTGGTCCAGGATCGTTCTTGGCACCGCTCCTCCTGCATCATTTCCGGGTTCCGGACGATGTCCAGCATCTCCCTCATGATGTCTGGGTTGTTGAGGATGCGACTGATCTCTGGCATTTGCCGGGCCAGCTGCTGCATCTGTGGGTGGGCCATGATCAGCTGCCTCATCAGGTCGGGGTTGGACAGCATGCTCTGGATGAACGGATAATCCACCTTCCAGGCCATCAGCTCTGAGCTGGCCAGGACCTGCTGCGGTTGCTGCAGCTCGGGATTGGAGACATTGGCACCCAGACCCCACCTGCTCAGATGAAACACACTGCTTTGGACAGAGCTGATGCCGGACGGGACCTGGGCCGGGGGCCATTCCAGGCTACGCAGGCATAGAGAAGTGAATCATTCCAGGTCTCTTCAGTGTCTAGATGCTGAGGTGGATGGTCACCCCGTCCTGGATCCCTCTGTCCTTTTCCTAGCTGTTAATGGGTAAGCGAATCGTTCCGGGGTCTCTTCGCCGTCCGGATGACCAGGTGGACAGTCACCCCGTCCTGGATCCCCCGCTGCCTCAGCGTGTCCTGGTCTTTCAAAACCCGCCCCACACACACCAGCACCAGCTGGCAGGGCTGGCACTTGAAACGCTTCGAGATCTGCTCCTTCAGCTGCTTGATGCTGCTGTTCTCCGGCACCACAAACTCCTCCTTCCCTGCGGGGGCTTTCACCGTGACGCGGATGATGCGGGGGTTGGCGGCGATGACCGGGCAGGCGACGGTGTTCTCTCCGCTCTCGGCCATGGCAGGGAGGCTCCGAGGGGACCCAGGGGGGCTGGAGCGGAGGGGCCGGGTTTGCTTCTCGCGTGAGCTTCTTAGTATGGATCTTGTGGCTGGGCTCCCAGCTCTGCGGGTGGGGAAGCTGCAGAAGGGAACAGAGCTGCCCCTGGCCCTGAGTAATGCCAGAAGCCAGGCCCAAATCATGCAGCCTGGCCACCAGCTCCCTCCTCCCCTCCTGCCTCTGCAGCAGGATCCCCACCTTGCCCCCCCAGCCGGGCCGACTGTGACATCACCGATGACATCTCTGTAGGCAGTGATGTCACTGGCAGCCCCTCCCCCGGCACCCTGCCATGGCCAGGGCCCGGGGAGAGGCTGG